TATGGCTATTGAAAGAGACGATTCGCTTCAATCTGTGAGTGTGAGGTTGGATGGAAAGAATTATTCGTATTGGAGTTATGTGATGAGAAATTTTCTTAAGGGTAAAAAGATGTGGGGATATATTAGTGGAATTTCTGTAAAACCTACGGATATTGATGAGGGTTATGCTGCTTCAATAGATACTTGGGAAGCAAACAATTCAAAAATTATTACTTGGATTAACAATTCTGTTGAGCATTCCATAGGTAGAGAGTTGGCAAAGTATGATACAGCAAAGGAGGTTTGGGAACATCTGCAAAGGTTATTCACTCAGTCAAATTTTGCAAAACAGTATCAATTAGAGAATGACATACGAGCTCTTCAGCAGAAAAATATGAGTGTTCAGGAGTTTTATTCTGCTATAACAGATCTTTGGGATCAATTGGCTCTTACAGAATCGGCAGAATTAAAGGCGTGCAATGCCTTTATTGTTCATAGAGAGCAGCAACGGTTGGTACAGTTTCTAACGGCACTTCGCAGTGATTTTGAAGGACTTAGAGGTTCAATTTTGCATCGTTCTCCACTTCCTTCTGTTGATTCAGTTGTCAGTGAGTTATTGGCTGAAGAAATACGTCTTAAGTCTTATTCTGAAAAGGGAATTCTTTCTACTCCTAATCCTTCTGTGTTAGCAATGCCTTCTAAGTCACTGTCTAATAATCATAATATGTTTCACGCAAGGGCTGCCCGTGATGAGTGCAGTTTCTGTAAGGAGAAAGGTCATTGGAAGGCTCAGTGTCCTAAGTTGAGACAGCAGAATCGTACCGTGCAGCAATTCCAAGCTTGGAAGCCTGGCAATCAATCACAATCGAACGATCGTAGACCACCTCAGGGTTATAGACCACCACAGTTCAATACTGCAGCGGTAGCTTCATCGGGTCCTTTCACAGATCCTGGTACTCTGGCTGAGCAATTTCAGAAGTTTCTCTCCTTACAGCCACAAGCTATGTCTGCTTCTGTAGGTCAGTTGCCTCATAGTTCTTCAGGTATGTCACATTCTGTTTGGGTCTTGGATTCTGGTGCTTCACATCATATGTCTCCAGATTCTTCATCTTTTGCTTCCGTGTCTCATTCGTCTTGTATTCCTGTCATGACTGCTGATGGCACTCCTATGCCTTTAGCAGGTGTTGGTTCTGTTGTCACACCTCACTTGTCTCTCCCTAATGTTTATCATATTCCGAAACTCAAATTAAATCTTGCTTCTGTTGGTCAGTTATGTGATTCTGGTAATTTAGTCACATTTTCTTCTTCTTCTTGTTATGTGCAGGATCTCCAGTCTCAGAAGCTGATTGGGACAGGCCGTAGGAAGGGGGGACTATATGTTTTGGATGAGTTAAAAGTACCAGTTGCTGCTGCTGCTACTAGTGTTGATTTATCTTCTTTTCGTTTGAGTCCTTCTTCTTCTAGTTTTTATTTATGGCATTCTCGTCTAGGTCATGTTTCGTCTTCTCGTTTGAGATATTTGGCTTCTACAGGGGCATTAGGAAATTTGCAACCTTATGATATTTCAGATTGTAGTGGATGTAAACTGGCAAAATTTTCAGCTTTACCTTTTAATCGAAGTATTTCTGTTTCTTCCTCTCCATTTGATTTGATTCATTCTGATGTATGGGGGCCTTCTCCTGTTGCCACAAAAGGAGGGTCCCGGTATTATGTTTCTTTTATTGATGATCATACTCGTTATTGTTGGGTTTATTTAATGAAACATCGTTCTGAATTCTTTGAGATATACACAACATTTCGTGCTCTTGTCAAAACTCAACATTCTGCTGTTATCAAATGTTTTAGGTGTGATTTGGGTGGGGAATACACTTCTAAAAAATTTTGTGAACTGCTTGCCTTAGATGGAACTATTCACCAAACTTCGTGTACAGATACTCCTGAGCAAAATGGTGTTGCTGAAAGAAAACATAGGCACATTGTTGAAACTGCTCGCTCTCTCTTGTTGTCTACTTCAGTTCCTAGTGTGTATTGGGGTGAAGCTGTTCTTACTGCTGTAAGTTTGATTAATACAATTCCATCTTCTCATATTTCGGGTTTTTCTCCTTTCGAAAAGTTGTATGGGTATGCCCCTGATTATTCTTTGTTTAGAGTTTTTGGTTGTACTTGTTTCGTTCTTCGTCCTCATGTAGAACGCAGCAAGTTGTCATCTCGATCTGCTATTTGTGTCTTTCTTGGTTATGGTGAAGGTCAAAAGGGGTATCGTTGTTTTGATCCAATAACTCAGAAACTTTATGTGTCTCGTCATGTTGTGTTTCTCGAGCATATACCTTTCTTTTCTATTCCATCAACTACTCATAGTTTGACTAGATTTGATCTTATTCGTATAGATCCTTTTTCTACTGATTCTGATAGTTTGTCATCTCAAGTTCCTAGCACTTCAAATACTGATCATTCTGCATGTACTGACACTTTACTCTCCGGCACACCTGAAGCTCCCTCTTCTCCTATGGTCCCTCAAGCTCCGTCTGAGACTGTGGATCCACCTCTACGTCAATCCATACGCATTCGTAAGTCTACAAAGTTACCAGATTTTGCTTATTCTTGTTATTCTTCATCTTTTACTTCCTTTTTAGCTTCTATTCATTGTCTCTCTGAGCCCTCTTCCTATAAAGAGGCAATTCTTGATCCTCTTTGGCAGCAAGCTATGGATGAGGAACTTTCTGCTTTGCATAAGACTGGTACTTGGGATTTGGTTCCTCTACCTCCTGGTAAGAGTGTTGTTGGTTGTCGTTGGGTGTATAAGATCAAGACTAATTCTGATGGATCAATTGAGCGATACAAAGCTAGGTTGGTTGCAAAAGGGTACTCTCAACAGTATGGTATGGATTATGAGGAGACATTTGCTCCTGTTGCAAAAATGACTACTATTCGTACTCTTATTGCAATAGCTTCGATTCGTCAGTGGCGTATCTCTCAACTTGATGTTAAAAATGCCTTCTTAAATGGAGATCTTCAAGAAGAAGTTTATATGGCTCCCCCTCCTGGTGTTCCACATGATTCTGGGTATGTTTGCAAACTCAAGAAGGCGTTGTATGGTCTCAAACAAGCACCTCGTGCTTGGTTTGAGAAATTTTCTGTTGTGATCTCTTCTCTTGGATTTACTTCTAGTAGTCATGATTCTGCTCTTTTTGTTAAGTGCACTGATGCAGGTCGTATCATTCTATCTTTATATGTTGATGACATGATTATTACTGGTGATGATATTGATGGTATTTCAGTCTTGAAGACAGAGTTGGCTAGACAGTTTGAAATGAAGGATTTGGGTTCTCTACGATATTTCTTGGGTATTGAGGTAGCCTGCTCACCTAGAGGTTATCTTCTTTCTCAGTCGAAATATGTTGCAGATATTCTTGAACGGGCTCGACTTACTGATAATAAGACTGTTGATACTCCCATTGAGGTTAACGCAAAATATTCTTCTTCTGATGGTTTGCCTTTATCAGATCCTACTTTATACCGTACTATTGTTGGGAGCTTGGTATATCTCACTATTACTCGTCCAGATATTGCATATGCTGTTCATGTTGTTAGTCAGTTTGTTGCTTCTCCTACTACAGTTCATTGGGCAGCTGTTCTTCGTATTTTGCGATATCTTCGGGGTACAGTCTTTCAGAGTCTTTTACTTCCATCCACATCTTCCTTGGAGCTGCGTGCATACTCTGATGCTGATCATGGCAGTGATCCCACAGATCGTAAGTCTGTTACTGGTTTCTGTATCTTTTTGGGTGATTCTCTTATTTCTTGGAAGAGCAAGAAGCAATCTATTGTGTCTCAATCTTCAACCGAAGCAGAATATCGTGCTATGGCATCCACTACCAAAGAGATTGTTTGGTTACGTTGGTTACTTGCAGATATGGGAGTTTTTCTTTCACATCCCACTCCTATGTATTGTGATAATCAGAGTTCCATTCAGATTGCTCACAACTCGGTTTTTCATGAACGAACTAAGCACATTGAGATCGATTGTCACCTTACTCGTCATCATCTCAAGCATGGCACAATTACTTTGCCATTTGTTTCTTCTTCTTTGCAGCTTGCAGATTTCTTTACCAAGGCGCATTCTATTTCTCGTTTTCGTTTTCTAGTTGGCAAACTCTCGATGCTTGTAGCTGCTGCATCGTGAGTTTGAGGGGAGATGTTAAGAAATATATGATTATTTTGTTAACATTATTTATTAAGGGTAGAATAGTCTTTTAAGTTTTCTTTATTTTAGACTATATATAGTCTCTTTGTATCTAGGTTTTATTCATTCAATTACATTATGCAGAATCAATAAAACCCTAACCTCTTTTTCATCTTTTCTTTGGATTGTTTAACACGGACATCATCTTGTAACCTAACCTATATACCAGGGCAAATGCTTGACAGTACAAGGAAAGAAAATCCCACCAGCAGATCTTGTAACCTAACCTATATACTATGGCAAATGCTTTCAGTTGACAGTACAAGGAAAAAAAGCCCACCAGCAATTACAGTCTAAATCCCTTAATCAATGGCAAGCAGTAAAATCTCCTGATCATTAGTAAATCAAACAATTATCTCATTACTTTGTTCCCCTCCCCTGCCGTATTGACATAGTTTTAAAACTCAAACCGCACTAGCCGGTTCGACTTCGAAACCGGCTGAACAGAGGGTCAACCAGCCGGGACATGTGAACAAATAAATAGGAGCACCAAAAATCTACTAAGCAATTTAATTGTATCCCTAAAGAGCCTCCATAAGAAATATTGAGGCATTTCATCAAGAATACCCCAAAAAAAAAAGGTTCTCAAACGGATGCATCAAGCATGGATTTGCATTGACGAAAAACTGTTTTACATGATCAAAACCTCAATTCCTTCGCAAACAACTTAAAAGAGGTTTTTCAACCAACTTAATCTGTACAAGACTTGCAATTACAAGAAAACGAAACAAGAGTTACATAATATTATCTCAATTCCTGTTGAAGTCAATCTCACTCTTTAGAAAACCTTCAAAATTTTGCTACTACGAGTTATACTTCCTTCCTGGCTCAAGCAGCTTTCAATTTTAGCGTCAACAACACCGTGACCTTGTGCTGTGAGGCGACTCACTAATAATTCCAAGGCTTCCTTCATCCACCAATAATGGCAAACTTTCCTAGCTTCTCTTACACTCACCTATAAGAATCAAGTTACTATATGTAATCAGCATTTGCAATCATCAATAGGAAAGATTTTAGAAATGTCCACGAAATTTTTTTTACCCATTTTCTTTGGCGTACATCTTTCTCTGGCCAAAACTCTAGCTGCTCTTTGACAAGTAATGGAAACATACGTCCCTCGTAACAGTTGCCATTGTTTTTACTTTTAAAACTCCATTTACCCAATTCAGACTGCAAAGTGGAAAAACCTTGATCAGATATTCAATATTTAGTGTGATCTCTCGAGGAAGAAATATGAAGCCGAACAGAAACTAACACATAATTGATGTAAAGATCAAACAAAATTCTGCTTCCTTAAATTACATTGTTTGGATTGGTTAAGGTAAATCTTCTAAAAGACAACATTTTACTAAGAAATTCAGACGCTATCAAAAGCAATGAGAAGCGAATCTCTACATTAAACTTGTAAACAACAGAACAAAAGACCCAAATGTCCTCGAATCCTTGAATTAAGGTTACAAATATCAAACAATAATTTAGTCAAATAAGTGTTTATTGCAAGAAATCCACAAGTCTGTGTAACTCAAACTAACCTCAACATCGCCTAGTACACCGGCTTCCTCTACTGTTTCACGCAATGCGGCTTCTTGAATGGACTCATCTTTCTCCCAACCTCCCTGGTAATACACATACATTAATTTCTCAGAAATTGAAATTGTCTATAATATAATCCGGTCTTGATGACTAAAAAAAAGAGCAAATAGTACCTTTGGAAACAACATCCCTTTGCCTTTTCTCTGGGAACTAATAACAAGAACTTCAATTGCATCCTCATCGACTACAGATTTCCCATTAATACCTTTATATCTATATGGAATACATCTGCACATTCATAAATTATACACATAAATTCAATGCCCATGAAAAATTCCCATACTGGGAGAGGGAGAGAAGGGAAACAAACCCGACAACTTGGCGATGGCCATGAAAATTGTAACGCTGGAGATGCCTGCCTGTACGAGAAACAAGAGTAACCATGTTCTTCAATTCCATTTTCCTTTAGCAAAACTTTGGAAGCCCAATAATGAACACAAAATTATGATAATTAAGAACTGACAAGAAAAGCATTCGTTAATTAAATAAGTGCACAAGTGAGGCCACAAGATTTTATAGACAAAACAAGAAGACTTCGTCAATACATTTATCATGTTGTCCCAGAAAACCGTTGGAAGAATAATGACCGTTTTAAATTTCCTCTCTCACAACACACACAAAAGACTTTACGAAATGGGGATATGATGAGAGAGACGAAAACCATTTGCAACCAAGGCAAATTACGTGTCGCTGACGCGTCAATTGTGGACTCTATTCTTTCTTGGATAAATTCCTTTACGGGTTGTCAATCTTTTACAAATGTCATAATCACGTCTTCAATATTTTATGTCAAGATTATATTGTCACTACAATTTTTATTTGATACACCACATTTTATAAAAATTTCTTTTTTAATTTTGTTGTCGTTGAACTCTTATCTTCAACCTTCTATTAACCAGTCTGCTTCATCCTTGATATTGATTTATATTAAAATATTTTATTTTCATGAATTATTCTTTTGCACTTCTTATTTATTTTGTAAAATATATATATATATGATGGAAAAGTAAGGCTTCTTTTTTACACAATTTCAACGAATTTTTGGATATAAAACTATTATCAAATACAAAATGTCTTAACTAATGAAAAGTTTGAAAATAAAAACGACATGAAAAATCGTTAAGGATAAGTAAGATAATGAATAATGATTAAAAATTTTAAGTGCACTTAAAATATGGTGCAAGAAATAAATAATTATATACACACCACAATTTTTATTTTTTACAGCACATTTTAATTTATATTTAAGATTCTTAATATTTACTCATTATAGAACCTATGTTCTTAACAATTTCATGTCATTTTTATCGTCAAACTTTTCATTAGTTGACATTTGGTATTTGATAATAATTTTATGTTCAAAAGTCCGTTGAAATAGAGTAAAACAACTTAATTTTTCATCATATTTTTAAAAACTAAATAAATAAAAATACGAAAAAAAATACTTTTTCCTTCATTTCGAAGTATGAAAATAAAATATTTTGATATAAATTATCATTAAAGACAAGAAATACTAATTTATGTAAGATTGAAGATAAGAATTTAACGAAAAAAGTTAAGAAGATAAGTGATGTAATGAACAAAAATTGAATAGTTTAACTACAATTAAAATATTGTGTATTTCATGTGCCTCGCACGTGATATTCAAGGATTAGCACGTTCATTTTGCGACTTTTGAACTCTTTTCAAGCCAAATTAAACCAAACAGTTTTCCGATTTCAAACCACGGCTTTAGCAACATAAAAATCACATAATTTAAAGGGTTATTGGCGCAAAACGTCCCTACCTATGACAGTCCTTGTGGAAAACGTCCCTACGTTTGATTTCTTGGTGCAGAACGTCCCTACCTTTGCATTTTCTTGCGCAAAACGTCCTTCCGTCCAACTCCCGTTAGAATCCACCGTTAAATAAAAGGGTAATTGGCGCAAAACGTCCCTACCTATGATGGGTCTTGTGGAAAACGTCCCTACGTTTCATTTTTTGGCGCAGAACGTCCCTACCTTTCACTTTTTTTTGCGCAAAACGTCATTTTTCCCAATTTTTGACATAAAATGACCAATATACCCTTCAATTTAAATAAAACAAAAAGGAAAAGAAAAGAAAAATCAAGAATAAATTGCAATCTGATCCAAAACATTTTAAAAAGTGCAAATCAGTCCAAATAAATTATTAAAATATTAAAAATAATCAAAAATAAAAATAAAAACTCTCTCTCCTCTCCCTCAGCCTCCTCTTCCCACAGCCTCCTCCACCACTGGGATTGTAGAGGGTGATGAGGAGCCGGTATAGTGTCTGATTTTCGGTGGTGGTGGAGGAGGCTGAGGGTAAGGGTGAGGCTGAGGGTGAGGGAGAGGAGAGAGAGTTTTTATTTTTATTTTTGATTATTTTTAATATTTTAATAATTTATTTGGACTGATTTGCACTTTTTAAAATGTTTTGGATCAGATTGCAATTTATTCTTGATTTTTCTTTTCTTTTCCTTTTTGTTTTATTTAAATTGAAGGGTATATTGGTCATTTTATGTCAAAAATTGGGAAAAATGACGTTTTGCGCAAAAAAAAGTGAAAGGTAGGGACGTTCTGCGCCAAAAAATGAAACGTAGGGACGTTTTCCACAAGACCCATCATAGGTAGGGACGTTTTGCGCCAATTACCCTTTTATTTAACGGTGGATTCTAACGGGAGTTGGACGGAAGGACGTTTTGCGCAAGAAAATGTAAAGGTAGGGACGTTCTGCACCAAGAAATCAAACGTAGGGACGTTTTCCACAAGGACTGTCATAGGTAGGGACGTTTTGCGCCAATAACCCTAATTTAAACAAGCGAAAAAATAAATATATTGATTTAAAATTTCAATATAACAGTTAAATTGATAACTTTTGAATGTAAACATAGCAATACTATTTTTGACTAAATACAAGCTTAAACCTATAAAGTGATATGAGGTTGAACCATAAAATTTAGGTTTGCAATTATATTCTTTAGACAAAAACATATATTATCATAGATAAGTTATTACTTTTTAAAGAGTCAATAGAAGCTGAAAAGCAAGTAAGATTTATTGAAATACAAATTAATAAAATAAATAATATATTTGGATAGAACAAATAATTCTTTTAAAAAATTGGGTGAATGTGTCGATTTGGTTTCAAGTGATATTTGACTATCTAAACCTAAACACGTGGAACCAAACAACGGCTTCAAATCACGATTTTGATTCATTAGTAATATACAATGTTTTAAGAAACGCTCCTAGGCATCGTCTAAGTGCGAGGGGACGACAAAATGCTTCGCATTTGCAGAAAGCTTGAATTAAGAGATCAACAACTAAGTTGATCGCTTAAAACGCACCTAAGCGTGTTTAGGTGCACATTATTATTTTTTTATTTTTTACGTTTTTTGAAAAAAAAAAAATTATTTGATTTTAGTTTATTAACTTTTATGTTTATTTTTTTTTCAAAAGGTTTCTATTTGACTTTAATTTCAAATTTTTAAATGATTTTATATATACAAAAGTAAAAAATACTTTATGCGATAAAATTTTTTAGATAAGATTTAAGTTAAGGTTTTATCTATATTATTTAATTATGATTTTGACACTTACCACATTGTTGTAAACTTCGAAAGAATGTATGAAATTCTTATAAATCTATTAATTAGAACTTGTCTAATTGAAAGTTGAAACCGTGAAAAATAGCTCAATTTTTGTATTTAGAGAAGTTGAAAATTATATGATTGACTAATTATAGAAATTATTAAGTAAATGCAGTATTTTATAATTATAGATGTTTGGTATTTATTATTTTAATTATTAAATAATTTTTAGAATGATTAAGTATTTAAAATAATAATAAAATAAGTAACTTTATTTTACACCTAGGCTTCACCTAGACCTGCTTAGACTCGTGAAACGTAGCCGCCACTTCGAGTTGCGCTATACGATAATATATGACTAAATGGTAAAACTATCCAAAAAATTTAAACGATGACTGTTCAAAGTACAATACATGCTGCTATGTTTTTGGACATGATCACTATTTAACAACTAAATAGATGTTTGTCATGTGGGGTTGTCACTCGATCCTTATTAAAGGTGAGGGACATAAGTGCCGCAAGTTGAAAGTTAAGGACATTATTGTTGCTTTTGTGAAAAATTGGGATTACAAATATTTAACACCGACTAAATTTTTTATTTACCTATTTATTTTCAAATCAAATTGGAAACTCTTATTCAATGACAAGGACTAATCTCAATAATCTTGTTCTATGAAATGCCAAGTTATGTTATTTTTATTATTTGCAATATAATTGATCACAAATCAATATAAGGTCTTTTGAACTGTGAAATGTCACGCAATCTTTTTTGTTAAAGAATTAAGGGACAAGGGCAAGGGGAGTTTTGGAGGGATGAATTTGTTGAAGTGATCAACTAGAAATAATACACGTTTCTTCGACGGATTAATAATATCATATCGGACATAAAATAAATTTCTTTTTTTTGTTTTTTGATTGTATACAATATTATTGAAAAGTCCATAACATATCAAAAAAGTCGTAATTATCATCTATTTATCATTTGCTATAGCTTAAGTTAGGGAGCAAAGTAACGTGATCAACTCGATTCCTAAGCTGGGTCTTGATTTCAAATATGAAAAAAAAAAAAAAAAAGTAAAAATTAAAGAACCATTATAAGAGGAAACAGGAAATGGGGCATAAAATTGCAAGGGATGTGCTTGGTGTACATAATATATGTGCACAGCGGTGTTCATACCTCTCACATGGGGTGGGCCCCATGGACACCCCTGTGTACATATATTATGTACACCAAGAATATTTCAAATTGTAATATGGGACAACGATAAGGCGTAAAAATCTTGTATGGATGACGGGACAGGGAAAGGGATGGCCACCCTCTCTGTCCGGTGCCATCCACAGTTTTAAGAGTTTGATTTAAAATCTTGTGGGTTAGGTGAAATTCTTGACAGAACAAATATGAAAAGTCATGTAAAGAAAAATGTACATATAAATAAAAATTTTCAAGTATTGAGAGTATGATCATAAAGGAAGCATTTGAAAAGCATATAATTCCTTCCAAAAGTATAACATGTATTAAGAGCTTTTTAAAAGTGAAATTCTCTTTATTTTAAAAAGTTAATCCTTAAAATCATCATTTAATTTAGGGATATATTAAAAAAAATGTAACGAAAAATTATTTTTTCAACTATATTAATTATATGATAATTATATTTACACCACAATTTTTATTTCTTGGACTACATTTTAATTACACCCAAGGTTCTCAATACTTACTCGTTATATCATTTATGCCCTTAACGATTTTTAATGACATCCTTGTCATCAAACTTTCTATCAATTAACACGTTTTGTATTTGATAACAGC